GAGGTTGTTTCAGGGTTCAATCTGTGAATTGCAGCCATGCCCTGACTTAGATCAGCCCAGAGGTTGTTTCAGGGTTCAATCTGTGAATTGCAGCCGTGCCCTGACTTAGATCAGCCTAGAGGTTGTTTCAGGGTTTGAATTGTGAGTTAGCCATGCTTTGCCTTTGATCAGCCCAGTGGTTGTTTCAAGGTTTAACAAAATTGCTGTTAGTCCGTTTGTAATGATATCCACGCTCACCTTCTCTTTTCTTGCAGAATAATCTGCTTTTGTTTTTCAAACAAACCCATCTTACACTGTGCTAATTCAGCCTGTAAAATGATTGAATTATAATTATTGATATGTAATCTCGCAAATAATCAAATGGAGCAGTATCTTAATTTTAAAAATTATTGTAAATGATACAGCTGATAATGAGTACAGCGTATTTAAAATTTGTTAAAGGATTTTTACATGTTGCAAAATTCTCAAGCCTGAAATGTACTATGGGAAAATTAAATGTTGATGAAGGAAAGAAGACAAGAATAATAAATGAAAGAAAGAAGACAAGAATAATAAATGAAGGAAAGAAGACAAGAATAATAAATTTAGGAAAGAAGACAAGAATAATACATTTACCAGCACATTTCTTTTTAAATCTAGACACCAGCTACTCAATAAGGCTTCCATTCTAGCAAGATCAGCGTCGATTCCTGGAGACCGTTGCCTACCAATGGGTGAATCATCAGATTTGTCTGATGATGGAGATTCTTTAGATGGGGAGACATAATTAGATGATGAATTGGAACCACCTTCTCTACCATTTGGTGTTGCCTCGGCTGATTCTGGAAAAAAATATGAACATTTGACCAGTAAATGTCAGATTTAGGTGATTAAGAAGAACATCCTAATAGCTATAAAAGGTATTTGGCTGGGCCAGGTTGTATTGTATGAAAGTGGATAGCTTTATCAATCTTTATTCAGTGAATAAGTCAATGCTGTTATCCAATAAATTTATGACATACACTGATAAGATTTGTCAGATAGTGCTATCCATCCTTTATACCACAAAGCCCTGGACGTTTTACGTATCTATTCTGAACCAGTCATATTATTTCAGCAGCATTTATCATTTCACCTCATGCCCCGTGAAAGAGTTTTTTTTATGAAGTTCTGTCTACATGTAATTCAGCTCTGGGKTATTGGGTTATCTGGTCTCCTCCTTCCCCCCTAATAAACAATACGCCACTGTTAAAAGTCTTTCTAATATTATATAAATTTGCAATAATAATTCTACTGAAGACTTACCATCTCTCAAAAGTGAGTCTCTGGCCAAACTACCCTGTCCCATCAAAGAAATACTAGGTAATCCAGCAATACTATCTCTAACTACATTAGAAGTGTCTTCAACATAGGTGCTTTGTGATGAATCACTACCCGATGGTTTCGAAGAAAAAGAAGCGCTTGACTTTGACGAATCTTCACTTGATTGACCGYCATTATCAACTYCTYGCGACGGTTGAGCTTTGCTATTTCTTTCGTAAATATTCTCCGCTAAATGGATTTTTGGAGTTACAACGGCGTATCTTAGGAGTTCTTCGTATTCTTTTTGTAATGAAGAAGAGACTGAGCTTCCAGGAGAATCGTTATCTGGTAAATAAGGCAAGGAATTATCACTACTTGAAGACATTTTTTCAAGAAAGTATAAAATCAAAACACGGTATTTCAAAATCATATGAACGATATATATCGAGTTTCCTGATTGGTTGACATTTTATAAACTAACTGCTGATTGGCTAAAACAATTTTTGCTCCCGGTGTCACAGGGATTTGTGTTCCCCCGAGTTTTTTGTTCCCCCGAACACTGGGCACTAGTGTTTTGTGTCCCCCCTTCCCCTCCCTATGAAACATATTTTGGCACGATTCTCTCCCCCAGGTCAAGGACATATTAACTCTGAAAACGAAAAATAAATCGGAAAATTTCAATCGTACGTACATCTTTACGTACATCGTATAACCGCGTGATCTTCTACTGCCGTTGGTATTTTGAGAGAGAAAATTGTATTTACCGAATGCAATAATTCAAGTGAGTTTCTTTTCTTGGTCTCTCGGCCAAATTCGTATGCAAAATGTTTTTGCTTTATTGAGTTTCTTCGTGCCCAATTATTTCGAGCGAGAACTTCTTGTTTATTCTCCGTAAAACATATTTTTCTTTATCCACAAAATTAGGAGGATGTTCCTTTCCGCATAAATATTTAAAAACATTATCATACTGTGAATCGAAGCTTCCATGATTTTTTTAATTCGTTCGTTGAATTTAGCTTTCAAGAAAATTCTAAGATTTAGCCCGTTTGTCACAACCGAAAACCAGCCTTTCAAATATTTAAAAACATTATCATACTGTGAAGCTTCCATGGTTTTATGAATTCGTTCGTTGAATTTAGCTTTGAAGAAAATTCTAAGATTTAGCCAGTTTGTCACAACCGAAAACCAATCATTTATAGAGATTCCTTGACCTGGGGGAGAGAACCGTGTCAAAAGGTGTTTCATAGGGAGGGGAAGGGGGAACACAAAACACTAGTGCCCAGTGTTCGGGGGAACACATAACTCGGGGGAACACAAATCCCTGTGACACCGCTTTGAGAGTAGATCTAAACTAAGTCCAGATTATAGTCCAAAGTATTTAAAGAATAATAGATGTGATGAAAAAATAAATGGTTCCTATGTGGATGTTAAAGATTAAACTTTTCATTAAAATGAAGTTCTTTGACGTTTTAAAATGCCTGAGAGWCTGCCAGCGCTGTTTGAATAGTTCGGAACCGCATTTTCGGAAAGAAATCGGTAGCCGAATTGATTCCGGTTTGTCGTCTATCCGACGTCTATCTCACGTCTTTCGTTTTTCACCAGTGTCCGTCTATCCCCATTGCCTACCTAATACCTAGGTAAAATAATCTAGTTCTCCCCCCCCCCCCCCCCCC